CGTCCTCTTGAAGAACGTATTCAAGAATCTGCGACGTGGGCACAGTGGGCTCCAGGGTTGAAGGCTGCCTTGATTGAAGGCTTGAAGAGGCAGTTCAAGAGAAGGGATGCTGGGCGCTGTCACATCGGGGCACCGGGCAATGCGGAGGAGGCAACCTGGGACTCTGATGATGATAGCTCAAAGCCCATGCATCAGCAGCCCCAACTCTGTCCCCTGTCCGCAGTTGCATTGACAAAATGGAAAGCTCACATCCTGAACGACCACCAGCCCATGAGAAGAGACTGCAGAGTCTGTGTGGAAGCTGCAGGCCAGTCTCGACATCACCGACGAATCCAACATCCAAGTGCCTATTGTCTTTCAATGGACTTGTCCGGCAAGATGAAGCGTGGCAAAGACCAGTTTGGCTCTGCCGGCGCATACATCCTGATTGGCTGCTACACATTCCCAACTACACTGGATGATGTTCCCCTTTGCGGCCCAGATCAACAACGACCACCAGAGGATGCTCCGCTACCAAGCTTGGGTGAGGTAGTGGATGAAGATGGTGTGGATGGTGATGTGGAGGATGGAGAGCTTCCACGTTTTGAAGCTGACGTGGAGGATCAACCATGTGACGAAAATGATGCCGCAACTAACCGGGCCAAGACGGCTTTTGACAGCTGGATGAAGTTGGTGGAAGAGCATAAGCAGGTCAAGGTCAAGACTTTGACTTTTGCGGAAGTCATCACCTCAAGAGCTACAGGCCATGTCTTGGAAGGTTTGGCAAAGATATACGCCAAAATCAGGAGCCTGGCACTTCCAGTTCTACGGCTGCATGCCGATAGGGCACGAGAGCTGACATCAAAGGCCATCCAGGCGTGGTGCCACAGTCGCGACATTGTAGCGACATACACCTCTGGCTCTGATTGGAAAAGCAATGGGAGGGCAGAAAATGAGATCGGCATTGTCAAGCGACATGCAAAAATTTTGATGCGGGCGCATAACATCAATGAGGAGCGATGGCCCATCCTTGTGAAGCATGCCGCAGAGCGACGTTTGCGATGGCAACTCCAACAAGTTGGCTATCCTGTGCCTGATCTCTTGCCCTTCTACACCAAGGTTCTGGTCAAACGAAAGTCCTGGAATCAAAGATATGCTGCATGGAGGTGGGAACGTGCCCCTGGCCGTATTTGTGGCCCTGATCCATGGTCATCTCTGACATCAGGTGGGTACTGTGTGCAGCTTGAAGATGGGACTTTCTTGGCATCTACAGATGTGGTGGTGGAACAATCAGAACTGGGGGAGGGACTCGCATTGGATCTGGTCGTGCAAGAGCGACTTCAAGCTCCTGGTGAACAACAAATTTCTGAAATTCCCAAGCGTCGTTTGCGCTTCAAACAAGGAGTTCCTCAAATGGCTCGCTTGGAGTTGGGTTCCAACTCGGGGGAGAAGGTTGATGTTCAGGCCAAGTGCAACAGCGAGTGTGATCATGTTGAAGTCAAGCGACTTCTCAAAATGCATCAAGAGACTGCAAAGGTCTTGTCTGAGGAATGTGTTCTTGTGGACGACTTGGATCCTGAACAAGCAGCTTGCATCCCAGCGTTGGCAATGTTGGCTAATCAAAAGTTCGATTTGGAACTTCAGCTGCGAGCTCTGGACTTGGAAAAGAAGCACAAGGAGGAGGAAGAGAATTTCTTGGTGACAAAAACCATCACCACTGAGCAGGTCTACAGAGAATGGGATGATTGGAAGCTTGCCATGATGAGCGAATACACATCCATTGTGGAGGAGAAGAAAGCTGTGCGACAAGTGAAAAGATGTGAAGCACAGCGCATGGCAACGGAGAGCAACATCAAGTACGAGGAGCTTCCAAGTAAAGTGGTGTTCACGAGAAAGATGGGTGGAAAAAGGAAGGTGAGAGCATGTATTTGTGGCAACTATGAGAATGAAGTTGCCACTGCCACATATGCTGGAGGTTGTGACGCATCACAGATCCGATGCCTCATTCGTCATGCAGCACTGGAAAAATGGGCCCTGTACGGGACTGACATCAAATGTGCCTTTCTGAATGCGGAGCGCAAAGACCGCACCAAGCTGATTGCCATGTCTATCCCCTACATCTACGTCAAACTTGGACTTGCATCACATCAAGATGTTTGGTTGGTCGATGCTGCTATGTATGGCCTAGTGGCCAGTCCACGTGACTGGTCAGACCATCGAGATGAAACGATTCCGAACATGGTGTGGCAAAGGGAGGAGGATGGCAAGAAATGGAAGGGCACCTTCAAGAGGGCTGCGGATCAACACCTTTGGCATTTACAAGAGGAGTGTCTGGAATCGGGGGAGGTTTGCAAACGTGGTCTCATGGCTATATACGTTGATGATGTTCTCCTTGCTGCAGGAGATCCTATCGCAACTTGCGCTCTCAAAGCAATAGCTGAAGTTTGGGAGTGTGCTGAACCAGAAAGGGCGACTCTGGAAAAGCCGGTATCTTTTTGCGGCTTTGAAATCCAACAGAACAGCTCTGAGCGTGGCGGAGGTTTTAGACTTCATCAGCATAGCTATGAGGAGGAGCTCATCAAGAAATGGGAGGTTCATCAAAGCTCATCACAGGTGGACTTCAAACTTCCTCTACCTGAAGAAGAAGCAGAATTTGTCAAGTCTGAAAACTTGGACTTGGTGCGCCGTGCGCAAGCTTGCACTGGTGCCTTGCTTTGGCTTGCGACTCGAACCAGACCGGAGCTGTCTGTGGGTGTCGCTGCTATGTCAAGACTCTGCACGAAGGCTCCAGAGATTACCATCAATCTGGGCTTGAAGATGATGAGCTACTTGAAGCGACCATCACATGGAATGATCTATGCTGACCAACCAGGTCCAGTTCATGGAGCACGTGGTCAACTGAGCAAGCCAAGATGTGTGCGTACGGTAGAGGCTTTTTCTGACATCTCCTACGCGTCAACGAAGGGGTACAAATCTCTTCAAGGCCAAGTCTACTACTATGCTGGTGCACCGGTGATGTGGAACACTAGCAGGCAACCATTTCCAACTCAATCAACTGCCGAAAGTGAGCTGGTCAGCCTTTGTGAGGCACTGGTTGGTGGCAGAGCTACAGCAGCTTTGATCGCAGCCATTCGAGATGAACCTCCTGAGAAGTTGGTCAAGCGACTTTGGGGAGACAATGCTGCGGCCATTAGCTTAGCCACAGGTGAAGGCCAAGGGAGTTGGAGAACGAGGCATTTGCGCATCAGAGCGGCGATTTTGAGATCTGCGCTGCGCCACAATGAGTGGGACTTGGGACATCTCCTGGGTCGTGAGCTGGTGGCGGACTCCTTCACCAAGATTGTCACTGGCCCTGCGTTTGAGAAGGCGCTGCAAGATCTTTGCATAGCCTCTGATGAGCTCAAGGCGCATGGCGATGGAGCGGGCATGCGACATGATCAAATGAATGCAAAAATAGCGATGTTGTTGGGAGCAACGCTGTTGTCTGGCGCTGCTGCAACAAGTGATGAGGAGGGTGATGACCAGTTGTCCTGGCTTTGGGTCGTTGGCTTAATCCTGATGTGCGTGGGAGCAGTCTATGTGAGCGACAAGATGGTCCGAAGTGGCATGTGGCTCTATAGAAGACTGATAGGGGCATCGGGCAGCCAAGTTGATGTGATGTCCAAAGGACGGCCACCGTCACCTAGCATCAGTATGTTGCAGTGGAGCAGTAGCAGTGAGGATGAGAGAGAGCGAAGGGCAGAAATGAATGCACAGAGGGCCGCCTATGCGCAACAGGCTGATGTCGATGAACTTCGGGCCATGGTGGCGCAAAGTCGGCGTATCCAAGAAGATCCCCACAACAAAATGCATGGCAGAACTCCCGAGATGTATGAGGACACGTCTCAATTGCTGAGACGACGCAAAAAGAAGGCGGAGAAGAAACAACGGGATCCAGAGGCTGAAGAAGCGGCAGTAGAAAGGGCACATCGTGATTTGATGAATCACCTGGGAAACATTGGTGGAGGACCATTTTCACGGCGGAGGTCATCACGATCGGGCTCTGGCGGTGCTGCAGCATCTTTTGCTCCTGGGTCGATGGAATTTGGCTACGGAGAACCGAGCTATGTTGCAGCTTCATCAAATCAGAGCGCATTACGTTCGGGCTCTGGAGTTGCAGCTTCATCAAATCAGAGCGCATTACGTTCGGGCTCTGGAGTTGCAGCTTCATCAAATCAGAGCGCATTACGTTCGGGCTCTGGCGTTGCAGCTTCATCAAATCAGAGCGCATCACGTTCGGGCTCTGGCTTTGCATCTTCATCAAATCAGAGCGCATCACGTTCGGGCTCTGGCATAGCATCTACTTCAAATCAGAGTGCAATGCCATCGGGCTCTGGTGGTGCTGTGGTGGCGTCTGTGGGAGATGAGCGGCGTAGTGAAGGTTCCACTAACCGGTGGAACGAATTCCAACATGAACACAGCGGGCGTAGCTGGGGCTCTGACAAGTTCAGAGCTGAATACTGGAAGTATAGAGCCACAGGGCAAAAGCCAAAGTAGCTTAGGGATAAATTCGTGAAGATCAATCCGAATGCCTTGGGTCAATTCAGCCTATTTTCTTTTGGCATCATATTTTGATATTTTTCTCAGTACTCCCTGAGAAAAAGGGGGAGTCTGAATGTGATTGCAGGTTGACGCGATTTGCCATGTGCTTGGCAAGTGTAGTATCTGATCTTATCACTCGTGAGGCATTTCAATTCGAGACCAAAAAGGCCTGTGCCTTGCCCTGTTGAACTAAGTACGAAACGCTTCGTAGAAGCTTTTAGTGTCTGTGTCTGAACTGCGATCTACTAGTACTAAAAAAAAAAAATCCATTTGACGGTCCTTCCTGGACTGAATGAGTTCCTCCATCTTTCTCTGTCATGGAGCATCTTGCCGCTTAGGTTGAGCAGCTTTGGAGATCATCAGAACAAGCAAATACTCATGCGTACGACATGGGATGTATTTCACACTCACCCACATCAGATTCGGCTGTGACTGCCAACCTGTGCAAAGAACTACTGGACCATATTCCTTGCTCGAGCGTCCAGATTTCTTGTACTCACATCCTTAGCTTCAGGGAGATTATTTCCCCTTCTGTGAGTACATGACAGCCTTTCCAAAATCCAAACACATTCCTCAACCAAGGCAAAATGTGGAAGACTGAAGAGAACAACCAAAGGGGTAAAACCGAAAGCGCCACTGGAAGCACTCCCAAGACATCTTTATGAATGAAAGCTGAAAGTCCAACCACCTTGCCATCTCTCAATAGTAGCTGAAAGACCTCTGCCTTTGTCACTAGCCGCGCACGGTCCGACACCTGGGATGGCAACTTTGGGCCTTCATAGAGGAAAGGCAGTGGGAACTCACTCGGTCAGTTTGTGAACCCGTCGCCTCTGCCACTTTCTCCACCATCTGGATCAGTGCATAGGTCAAAGCCATTCCAGGAATTGAATCTTTAGTCCTCGAGCTCAGGTGATGTTGGGATAAAGGATTGTCAAAACTGCCTACGACCCTCCCTACACAGCCCCAACTTATCAGAAGGTAGTCGGTAGTGCCCTGTTTTTTTACTGTCTCTAGTTGCTGCTTTCAAACATTATATATTATGGCAGTCAATTGAATCGTCATCCCAAACAAGATAGAAAGTGGATTGATTCTTTTGAAACCACCAACTAGATCTAAATATATATACAGTATAAATGTTGATGTTTCGCTCGTAGATGATCTCATGCATATGCGAAAGGGCAAGCCACCCATCAAATATAAAACGGGGAAGCCTTCTTGAATAAATCCACACAAGGCGCGGAAATGAATTTGTCCCACGATATCCATCTATAGAAGATATCCAAAATCGGGAATTGGTTTTCTATTGGCTGCAGTTTCACTGATCATTGGTTCCACCCAGCAAAAGTCCTGTAAGTCCTTGCTCGCGCATGGCAGGACAGCTTTGAAACCACTGCAAAATCCAGATCAAAACGATCAATCAACCAATTCATGTCGGACGAACTGTTGCGACCTCAGATAGGCACCACCGGGCAAAGAACAATTTCACCACACAACCAACAACAGCCAAGGTTGCAGAACAGGAGATGCAAACAAAACTCCCAAACAGTTGCAGCTGCAATTGTTTTTTCCAAGATGCAAAGCAACGAAGCAAGTTCACCATTGGTTTGGCCAGCATGGAGAGTATCATCTCTAAAGTGAGTCTCCGAATCGTCCTAGCAAAGGCTGTTTTCATGTGACAGTGTACAAACATGTTGCGTTCCCATAACATAATCCAACAACACAATCATCCAACATCATCCAACAAACAATCTTAACAGTCTTTACATCATCCAACAAACAATCCCAACATCATCTGAAACCAAACACAAAACCATCAGAACCCCATCAGTGGTTCCTGGTTCTTCAAGAAGTTAATGCCTGCCGTGGCCTTGGCAGAGTTACCACCACAGAACGCCGCCTCAAGAGCCACTGCTGAATTGGGTGGCACAGTGGCAACCAGTGATGGGAATACGGATATTGATATGGCTGATATGCAGCGAATATGGTTGATCTGGATAATATATATATATATACATATATATAATATGTTTGATATGATTTTATAAAAATGGGGTCCCAAACAGCTGCATTTTTTGCCTTGGATGCGAATGATTGAACCAAACATACCAACCCTGCCTTCTCAAGCACCAAAATTCGTCCTCCTCGTTCCAAGACCTGCATTTCGAAGGTTTCATTGTTTTGGGAAAAAATGATGCACTCTCTGCTGCATCTCATTCAAGTTCCGCAAGTCCATTTATGGTTTTCAAACCGTAATTCCGGCGTGTGGAAGATCCCAATGCTCATGTCCAGGAACCATAACTGGAATTGTCAAAATGATTTTGAACACAAATCAATATTGCCAGTTACGTGCCGTAAATTCAACCCATTTTAACCACCAAAATCAAATGTTCATGGTTTCGTTTGCCCAAACGCACAAAAATTAGCAGCCTGATTGGCAACGACCATTCCAGCAAACCCACCACCAACAACCACGACATGGCTGGCAGGAAATAAGGCCATGTGACATTCTGTCAAGTTTCGCTGGGCGACCAAAAAAACATGAAAACTCGGTTGGAACACAAGACCAAATACAAAATGTGTCACTCTGATTATGTTGGAAAATAAACAAAGCAGTTAACAGTCTCATTTTTTTGCTACATGTGTTAGGAGTTGCCCACAATTTTTTACTGAAATACAAATAACTATATAATGATTTTTTTGTTCATGATTTGTTTAGTTTCAATTAAAACCATGCACAAATTTCGCACAAACCAATGCTGTATTTTTACATTCCAAAGCAAACCATTTTGAAGATTTCATTGAAAACATTTTCAAAATAAAATATTACTGTAAATACTTGTTGGGCACTGCCGGTTGCAAGGAGCAAATGCCTGCAAGCACGTGGGCGAAAATTTGTTGGTTGTTTGTTGTGATCAAACTAGGAATGATATGATGTTTTCAAACCCACGACGACCCTTGTAGCATTGAGAAAAAACGTTTTTTATCCCCTCCCAGTGGACTTGCAACATGCGTACAACAAAGTGCAAGCAGAGAACTTGCAAGAACTGCGCAATGATTTGTTATGTACAATTGACGTGGTGCCAGGGCATCCTCCTTATATATGTTCAATGTGTGCGCATAGCTCAAAGTGGCTGCATTGCGGAAAAAAATTTTGAAGATGCAGCGATTCAATCCTGGAAATTTCAATGCCAAATTACACCATGTCGAACACGAAGACTTCACACGTGCCAGTAGCCACCTGGTGAAGGGATTCCTATAGGTAAACACCGCCATCTTTTGATCCAGTTGAGTCAAAACCATTTGTTGGTTGTTCAAAAATTGCATCATTTTGTACAATGTGGATGCAAAAGGACTTCGAAAAAATATGACATTTGCGTTTCATGACAAGGAATAAAATAAGTTTCAGCGCGCGTTCTTTCAAATTTATAGCTTCCAAATTAAAAATTTTCCCACACTCTCTCACATCGCACAAGAAATCCGAGTGCAGGAAAAGTAGCCCACCAGCTTGTGTGAGCTACTAAAAACTTCCTGTACAGAGGTCTACCAAAAGGATGGGAACCTCAGTGACGACACCAAACACGACCGACGGTAAAGGGATGAAAGGTCCTCAACCACCGTGGGGTGCAGGGGAGCACGACCCAACACTGTCACCCGGTGAAACCTAGGGTCGCGCCGGGACTGCGCTCCTCACCGTCCTCCCCCAACCGGGGAAGCCCACCAACCGAACCAACTGCGCGCGTCCAAGTGCGATAGAGCCGCGGCATACCAGGTAGCTTAAACGCGTTCAGTACAGAGTCATCAATTGTGCACCACTTACCCTCATACCAGGAAGGGGGGGGGCAACACACCGGTATCGTAAATGAACTGCCACAATGGCTCAAGCGCAGTGATTCCGGACCAACCGGTACCACCGCAGCTCCCTCAACCACCCAACTAACGTACCAAAAAACGCATCATGCACCTGGGGACCAGCTTTGAGGCCAACGAGTCTGGCGCCCCTACCGACCACCTGAAAGCCAGCTGGGTCCGGGCAAACCCTTCTGGGCCGATCCACTTCGACAAAAGCTTGAGCGATGGCAATGTGCATGCCGGCCAACCCGACAGCCGCCTCCTTATCGGCATGACAGGACATGAACAACTTTTGATACAGCGCATGACGCGCATGCGCAACCACCACTTTACGCACCTCAGCATCAGCGTAGCTGTTGAAGGTAGCCAAGAGCCTTGCATTGCCAGTATAAGAGTGGCAACATCCTGGTGCGCCCTCACCCACCGAACAATATAATTCCCCCACTCTCTCTCACGCGTGCGGGCAAAAGTACCTCCAAAGGTCTTTCGCTCAGTGGTAGACGCAGGAGTTTCGTGGCAAACCTCACCACCTGAAAAGTATCATAGAAAACAGTGACACAGTGACACAGGAAAAAAGAAACCAACGCATCCGTGATCGCCAGCAACTCCGCCAGACAGCTTGATTGATCCAAACCGCGCACAAGCCCCGACCAAACCACCTCACATGGACCTGGACTTCGTGCCAAAATCACGGAGCCACCCGCAACAGTGAGCATCGGAGTACGGGGTGACAAACATCTCCCATCGGTGAAGACACATTGCCTCTGACAACGGACGACGGACTCTTTTTTCCTCTGGGATGGCCGTTCATGCACTGTGGCACGGTCCTTTATATGAAATATGCAAGCATAGGCCACTAAGGGGCAACGAGCACATTAATTAAATTACGCAAAAGCATGCAATTTAATTCGTCACCATGGAACTGACAACGGACAACCGACGACTCAACCTCCAAAGGCCCACCCAGACCACCAGCGCGGACGGCTCGTCCCACACCATTAGGCCCATGTATACTCCGGCAGGACTCTATCCCCCAGTAGCGCCAGAAAAGAAACCCACAGTTCTGACAGCGCCCTTACAAAAATTCGCGCGATGAAGCCTGGAGTTGTCCATACCACAAAGCTTCAGGACTTCTACCATGATGGAACGTTCCAAGGGACCTAAAAGAAGAACCACTTTCCGATCCCAAAATAAGGATCGCAAATCAAGCAGCCGGGACCGCAAGGTGAGAGCAAGCAACTAATTTAACCAAGCCATTCCAAACCAAATGAAAGAAAAGCAGAACAAAGAGGGAAAAACTAAAAGCAAGCAAGGGAGTCAATCCGCAAGAATGAAAGGAATGAAGCAAGCAGGAAGCGTAACTTGAAAATTGCCCTTCAATGAAAACTCTGGAGCGCGGAAACTGGTTCGAAGAGGTCATAAAACATCACTCCGCTTTCATTGAAGGGCGGGTCGCACGTTATGCTTCACCCGGCTTTAGTGACAACCGTACGTCGAGATGCAGAGAAGGCCCGCACATGCGAAGCCTGATTTCAATTGACTTTCCAACCCCAATAATGGAACCTGAAAGCGCACATGTGGTATCAGCTGTCTCCGTTCACTGGCTCCAATGTGGCGATTGCGATGCAGCACGACCCAGGCAACATTCACCAATCCTTCGTTACTCCACGCTACTCCGCTACTCCGTGCTATGTTTAAATTCAATTGCCCAATGTAATTGACACGATATCGAAACGATGGCGGAGTAAGAAAGCCTTCAATACTTTACCTTCCCACATCTTTCCCTAAGCACATTCTTCTCCATCCCGTTTTAAATTTATATTAGAGAGGAGGCCCGCACATGCGAAGCCTGATTTCAGTTGACTTTCCGGCCCCAGAAATGGAACCTGAAAGCGCACATGTGGTATCAGCTGTCTCCGTTCCCTAGCTCCAACGTGGCGATTTGCGATGCAGCAACACCCAGGGGGGCTGAAAACTTCGGTAGGAGTCTAGAGGGGCAAGGGGGCCCAACAAGGGGCAGCAGAGTATTTAATACAATCATTCAAATGGAAGCCGGCCACCTGCGCGAAAACCCACAAACTCTGCAACAGCAAGAAATACCTCAAGCAATGACCTAAGGGCTGCAAAAGGCTGATGGGCCTTCTTTTAGCGGCAAACAATCAAGCCACAAGACGCAACGAAATAATAAGAAGCTAACTTCAAGTGGGTTCAAGCAGCAACCGATATGCACCCCGCTTGTCTTAACTGGAAACAAAATCATCTACAAAACAGCTTGCTCCGACGGACCCAATTCTGGGTCCGGAAAACCTTCTCAAAACCGGCTTCTCTCAAAAGGGCTCCCTAGTTGCCCTTCCGGTCGCTATGAGCCACAAAGTTTCATTGACCAAAACTTTGAGTTTCTTTTTTTCCTCTGGTATGGCCGATCATGCTCTGAGGCTCGGTCCTTGCATGAGACGCATGATTTTTTTCCCTCCGGTCAGGAAGACAACGAAAGGTCGCGTTTACTGTACACTGTTGACTAACCCAGCCTCTCCGAGTCCACTCACGAGTACTCATTCACATGCCCAAGTTCAGAGAAGGAGCAAGTACCAGAGGGCGTAGCACGAGCAGGAGGAATATGACATTGGTGGCCAGGTGTCTTGTGTCCCTCCCCATTGCGGGGAGCAGCCCAGTCGCGACGACAGCGCGGTCACCCAGACCCAGGTGAGTGACCATCCGTAACCAGCCACTAAAATCTTATGCGTCTCAGGGTGGATATGACTACCGTACCAAGTCAAGAAGAATACCGTTCCAGATACTATCAAGCATGATCAGCACCTAGTTGTTGTGCCCATCGACATACTTGCAGCAGCTATAGACACATCATCAAAATATGCACCGTCTCGACGGCGCCAAGCTGAAAATATCTGCAGAACTGTTCAGGTGCTCCCAGAGTGTCTTCGTCTCACCAAAGTACTGGGGAGGACCACTTCTTGGAGTCCAAAAAGCCAATGTGTTTACGGCCCCGAAAATGAGATTGCTGCAGTGACCTTTTTTGCGAAAAATGGCGCAGCTTTAACAAAAAGCAAAACTTTTGCAAGTGTAACGGAATGGCAGGATTCGGGGGAACACGGTTGCTGATTGAAGGTCTCTAGCCGCCCCGCCTGCATGTTGCCAATCTTTGCCAAAGCGCCATGTTGTTTGGAATTGTTTGGGTGTTGTTGTCGCAGGCTTTCGCAACATGGCTTGGGTGAGGTGCTGATTCTGCGACATTGC